GCCCTCGTGTGCCTGCGTCCCTGGCGGGCCCGTGGCCTCCACCGCGGCACCACCGGACGCGGGCCCGCCACGCGCCCGCTGTGGTTGTCTCCACTCAGCTCATTTTTATATAGAAGCAAACTGCTTTAAGTTTCTGGCGCCTGCTCGGGCTAGACGGCCAAAAGCCGCTCCCAGGAGCAGGGCCCACGACGGAAACGGCTCTGGCTCTCGTCTTCCGCCACGTGTTTGGAAAGGCACCGCGGCGCCGTCCACGCGGGCGCACACGGCGAGGTGGAGACAGCCGGCGTGGCAGGCGAGCCGGGCAGAGGCTCAGGGCTCAGGCGCGTTCTCACCTGAACCCCAAAGACGGATCCGGACTTTCCCGCGGTCACACGGACGGGCGGCGCGCGGGTTCGGGAGCTCTGACCCAAGCTGCGAGTCCCTTTGCAGGGGATTTCATAGCCTAAAGCCTCGCTCCCCGCACCCCAGTTTCCAGTTTCGACTCAGAGCAGAAGTAAGCGGGAGCCGATCCAGGCCCGCGGGGCACAGGGAGACGCTGTGCGCTCCCTCCGCCTCGGCCATCTCCTCGGCCTGGCGCGGCGGCTCTCTGACGGGGCGACTTTCCGGACGTCGCCGTGAAGGCGATGCCTAACCCGGCATACGGGCACCACCTTGTCCAGACAGAAACACGGACAAAGACGCAGCCTAAAGCGAGCTCGGTCAGGAGCCCTGTGCCGCAGGACGGGGCACCCCAGAGACAGCGGGGAGCCTGCTCACAGGCTCGTGCGGCCGGCCAGGGCGAGAGAAGCAGGACGGTCTACACACCTCGGCCAGAACACCCGCAAGGTCACCACCTCGTCACGCAGCTGCTTAGGGAAAAGCCCCTCACCCCTCTGCCTAGGAGGCGGCTTCACGCTGATTCGGCAGAACTGGGGGCCCCTGCACTCCTTCCTGCCGCCTGGCCACGTCTGGAGGCTCAGCCCTCGCGGCCTGGGGTGCGTGCCGGCACTCAGCCTGTCTGTGGGGCTCCCAGGTCATTCCAGAGAGCAGCCAGGAGTGGGGCGCCCCATCATGTACACTGAGACCCACAAAGGTGTCCTCAGATTCCAGTGTGGCTGTTCTTACATGGATGTCTGCGTACCCCACTGGGTTTTTTTTTCCCTTGAAACAATTCGCACAGAGGTGCAGCCCTTCAAATGAGAATGTGCAGGGAAAGACAGGGCGCTCCAGCTCGTGGGGCACACGCGGGTGACAGGAAGCACCCCTGGGTCATTTCTCACGCCTTCCTCCTGGGTGGCAGCTGCCCTGTGGGGGCTGGCACAGGCTCCCAGGGATGGAGCCCACCCCCAGGGCGGGCCTCACTGAGGAGGGGCGACATGTGTTGTGGACAGAGCGCTTGGGATGCCCTGTCCAGCCCGGGCCGCGGCCCCTCTGCCTGAGGGCGCACCAGCAGGCGCTCCCTCCAGGGCGTGAGGAGGCCCCAGACAGGATATTCTTGCTTGGACCGACGAACGTCCCATCAGGTGCTGTTTTAATCAGAACAGTGAGCAGAGGGCCAGCCCTGTCCCAGAAGACACCGCACGGGGACTCCGCCCCGTAAGCAAAGTGGCTCTCCCTGAAACGTCACCGCCTGTGCAGCTGCTGGGGTGCCCGTCCCCGTCTCCGAGGTGACTTCCCGCTGGCCCCCCACGGGCTCTGGCCGGGACATCACTGCGGCCACCCGGGAGGAAGTGTTCACTCCTGCTCGTCACGCACTGTCCACCCGCCACACCAGCTCCCGGAGGCCGAGGGCCC